GTGGTGAGGTAACCTATGGAGGGAGGGATTGCTGGGTGGTAGGTATCCTATGGAGGGAGGGATAGCTTGGAGGTGAGGTAACCTATGGAGGGATGGCTGGATGGTAAGGTAACCTATGGAGGAAGGGATGGCTGGGTGGTGAGGAAACCTATGGAGGAAGGGATTGCAATGTAGGGAAGAAGGCCAAAATATCCATATATTTAGATAAGCTGTATCCAGGGTATATCCTCGTTATGTGATATCCTGACCCCCCTGGCGATAGGTTGGATATCTTCTCATCTACATAATGTAAGGTTAGACATTTCTGTATTTTAATTCTGTTTTTTGTATCCTTAAATACTGTATCTATTGTATCCTCTCCATGAACTGTATCCTCTGTGCCCGCTGAATCCTTGTATTTCCTTCATCTTCTGTATCCTCTGTTTATTCTGTATCCCTGTATTCCCTGCATTCCTGTATCCACTGTATTCCCTGTATCCACTGTAAAAAAACAAAGATTACTAAGTTATACAGATGTCATACAGATGTCATAGATCATGTGTGATCCACTTTCCATCGAAGTACAGAGACAACCATTCAAAATTATTCTGTAAAATGTTGTTACACTGTTAATTCACTTAAAGATTTTACCAAATATAAATTCAACAATTCTATTAAAATTATATTAAAATTATCCTAAGCTTAATTTTCACATTTGCTTAACTTGCCAGTTAAGGGACGAATTTAAAGTCGTCTTTGATTTAAGAAAAAAAATTCTGGTAATCATTTGGCAGCCTTACTTTTACATGTCTGATTCTTGAATCAAGAAAGACAGGCTACAATTTTGAAATGCCTTGAATGCTTTACTTAATAATTCCAAAATTCTACTAATGTTTCGTGGGACACCCTGAATTTATTTTAGTTCAAATGTGTTCTTTGCTTACCTGGGTGCCCGGCTGTTCTTAGGTAAAATATGTTTTTAGTTTATTCTTTTTCTTATCCTTTGTTCTGCAAAATATGATAAAACATGCTGATAATAAGAATAATCATGATTATAAGAAAAGAATTTTTTTTAATAAGAATGATTAAGTAGCACATTAATTAATGCAATAATGACAAAAAAAAATAAAAATAATTCATGACTTTAAAGGCATATTCTTAACATTTTTATGCCCTGGGTGGCCTCTTTTTAATCTATGGCGAACATATCCTGAAACCCATATATTCCCAGCTGAGCTGCAGGGGTAAAATTTTTACTATTTTCTAATGGGCTTTAAAGTAAAATAGCCACCCCACCTGAGTGCACCTTTCAATATTTGCGAATTTTTTGCTATTAAGTTCCCGCATTTTTTTGAATGATAATCTTTCAGAATTAATATTTGGGATTTTCTTTAATATGTACTTTTTAAGAGTTTAAACTTTATATTACATCAATTTGACCCCTGTAGATTTTTTACATAACTCAAAAAGTATTGGTTTGAGACTCTTGAAATACCCTAGGTTTGAGGCTCTTGAAATTTTCTGACTTTTCCTAAATACCCAAAGCCCTCCCTTAAGGTCTAAAACCGGGCTTTTACACTACCTGCCTGAGTCCTCTGCTGCTTTTTCCTGTAACAATCTAAATCTTCGTTTTGACCCATTTTCAGTTGTCAGATTTGGATGATTTTTATCTTTTTGAAAAGCCTATGACATAAGAAAACGGATTGCAAAAGTTTTGCAAAGAAATGTTTGCAAATTTTTTCGGTTATTTGAGATTTTGCAAAAATTCTTTTGCATATTTGAAATGCATGGTCAAGGGCTTTTCAAAAATGTATATTTTATCAATCTTTGAACATTTTTTCAAATATTTTTAATATGTAACTGGATTTTGCAAACAAAAATCGATTTTTGCAAATTTGCAATATTTTATTACAGATTTTAAAAGTAGAGCATGAGAGCTTTCCTATGTATCATTTGTTTTATCTGGACATCAAACATGGATTTAGAGTAGCGGGGTCAAATTGACCCCCCCCCAGCGTATCCTGGTTTTCAAGTAACCCCGCACTAGCAGGGATTGGGTTAAAGGAATATAATAGAATTTAGATTTTAAAGAAATTAACCATTCGTTCATCTGGTTGTGCATTAAGACTTAAAAATTTGATTTTTTTATATCGGTTGGCTTAGTACCAATATTGATGACGCCTAAATTAATAAATTTCTTTTTTTATATTTAGATATTAGTCGGGGAGGAACTTTAAATATGTTTGAGAGTGTTAATATTATGACAATCAAAGCAAAGCAGGCAGACTATGGAATCCAGGTTATCTTAAAAAATGGACTGTCTGTGTAATTTTATGTAACTCTCGGTATCAATGCAAAGATCGTGAGCAATGTCCGATTTACAATGATACCCCTTAAAGCTTTGTCAGATCAAGTAAGAAGATAGCAATTATTACAACTTTGAAAACTCATTATGAAAAATGGTCTTTTCTCTACAAAAGTGACTTGCGCATTTTTACTGTTGGAAAACAAATAGGAATTATCAGAAGTAACCGCATTTAAACCTAGAAAAATTACAATATCTTTAAAATTACTAATTAAATAAAGGTATCGAGGGTACTTTTGTGAATCAGGCATTGCCATCTTTGCATAGAGGGTCACTCGAAATTACGCAAATATATGAATTAGAAAAATTTAATTTCAAATTAATAAGGAAAGGATGTAACTTTAATTAATAAAAGGTATGCTGTAGGGACTTAGGGAGCCTTATATGTTAAATTCTGTACAGTCGTCTTTGGAGTTCAATTCTTTATCGATATCGGTAATTCCCTGTATTGTTGACCTAAGCTTGATCCATAGAAATTGAACCTAAACTTGTATATTAAATAAACAGATGTTAAAGCGTTTCATAAGACGAAAATATTGGATGCATAATTGAAGAAAAATAAACTATAAAACCAACTCTACTGTGACCTAATAATTGCAGATTGTTTGTTGATTAATTAGTACTTAAGAATAGGTCCTGTGATTAGACGTCTAAAGATTGAATTGAAATTCAGCTTTAAAGGGACTGCAGAGGAATTTAAGAAATTCTTCTTTAACTAACGGGTCACTATAAAACTTTACATGTGTTTCTNCTGACCTACTAACTTTACGACCTACTGCAATATCGGACCTACGCCAGCTGTTTATTTTTGTATTATTTGAGGATTAGGTTAGGTTAAGACAATTTCTGGGCTGAGTGCTGCGGCTAGAAAAGGCTAGGGGGCCGAGCGCAGCGGCTAGGACAGGCTAGGGGGCCGGACTCTGCGGCCACAAGTTCATCTAGCAGCTGTAAAAGCACGTGCTACTGCTAGTAGGTCGGATGTGTAGAATAGCAGATTCAGCGTAGGTCAGAAGTGGATTATAGCAAATTTGCATCATATAATTGCTGTCAGGTCCTGTTTCTGATTCTGGTTCTGACGTCAGATCTTAAATTTGAGAGATCAGCTGTTCCCGACAAATCCAAAATGGAGGACGCATCCAATGCGTCAGAAAATCCCAGGAAAAATATTCATTGAATATAATTATATTTAGGGATTTTGAATTTTTAATGTATATTTGTCAAAAAACGTTTAGTTTCATTGGTGATATTGTCATATTTGGTTCAAGTATAAGTTCAATGTTCCTCCAAACACATGTTTTTTTTTTGGCAAAAATATCTTCAAACTGAAAACATAAATGTTTTCTGTTCTGCATCTACAAAACATAAAACCATTCTTTTTTCATTTTTATCATTCTCGCATCATACCTTTCTCTTATTCACTCCAGTACAATTTTTCTGACATTTCATCATGGTTCTATCTTATGAAATTGTGACCCCCCTGCCCCCAACATTTCTGACATTTCATCATGGTTCTATCTTATGAAATTGTGACACCCCCCCCCCTTT